TGTTGCGGTGGGTGCGTGAGATGGTAGGCCGCAGAAAACCACGACTGGTCAATGACCAGGTGCCTTGAAGAACGGTATAAAAACGATCAATTTGCGGCAAATTGAGGTCCTTTCATGACCTGTAGGTATATAGACGAGTTCTGGCTACTTGTAATTTCTTGGATTCACAATCAATTGTGAGTGGTCACGCGCCGTGAACATCTATACTACAGACTAACCAACTGTTCCAACTTGTCTCATCTTCAAAACATGTTAATAAATCAATAAGACACACCGTACAAGCAAACACATATATAAATATATACATAATGAACTGAAACCAACTTGTCCATCTTGGCGCAATCACCAAACGGCTGTGATCAAAAATACGAAGCATCCGAAAGCCCCACATTCCAGAAGCATCGTGTTCAATGGTTCGTTCTTTCACGCCAAGTTTGGCAACGCCATGTCGACCATGACGTGACCATGACGAAGATTCTCCCCGTTCAAACATGACATTCGACTTGTCTCGATCCCCTGGGCACCCACGGAGAAGACGCTACGAACGTAGCAAAGGGCATCGCTACTAGGAACAAAGGGCATCGCTAGTAGGAGCAAGGACGCTACGAACGTAGCTCATGGCATTTCTATACTATAGTAACAAGAACGCTACTATCTCAAGAGAACATTCTCCCAGCCAAGCCACAGGTACGTGCTTGCACCAACTCGGGTAGCCGGCGGGTACGTCTTCTGGTTCCGGGCCAGGTTCGCCAAACCAGCACAAGGGCACCAAATTGCGATAGTTCTCAGAGATGTACCTGCACCTTGGACACGGACCCACCTGTTAACGGCAGCATGTGAAGTGAAGTTCTGCCCTCACCGTGGAGACTGTTGACTCATAAATCACACTACCAAGGAAAAATGCAAAGCTATGCATTGCTGCCATGTGATTAGCGGGGGCCAAGAGACGACGAATTTGGTCTATTTCCCCTCTTCCAGGCCTGGAAGAGGGGGTCGTTGCCTGGAAGGTCTCTCTACTTGAAATACACCGATTTCCTGATCAAACAGCGGCCAAGACTGCCAAAGACTTGGAGGACTTGACCTTTGACCCATCTGACAGTTTGACAAAATCTACCCGCTTTGTTCTTGCAGGAAATACAGGCAAGGTCAACAGGAGCTATCCGGTTACCCTGCATTGAATTTTTGTGCATCAGTAAACTACTGACAATATGTTAAAGAATATGGAAACCCATGACCCATGATCGCTTTATAAAGACATGGGGGTCCATCCGGACCTTGCTCCAAAGCTGTGCTGTGACGTTCGATTTCTTTCATGAATGACCAACGGCCACCACTTTCCACAACGCAGTATCCATAACTCATGTATCTCTTAACCCCTACCCAAGCCACAAAATCTCAACGTGACCTGCCATGACTGGCCCCATTGTTCGACCCTGAAGGCCTATAAACAAGATCAAACAAGGTCACACCACCACTGATGAGGCTGAAGACAAGCTTTTCACGAGGTCATTCGATGTCTGACATGGCATCTCTTCTAAGGCAATCACCCTCCGCACGTCGTTTTCTCTCCAAGGTGCCAGTATGGGGACTTGCTCTGGGAGCGTTCCTGAGATGAGTTCCTCTGGCCTGGGCCTAGAGCCCTGAGTCGTTTCCATAGGAAGATAGCTCACTGGTTCATGATTGGCAGGGAAACCATCACCCAGAAGGGTTGGTTAGGTACAGCAACGGATTAGGATTAAAACGGCGCTCCAAATATTTCTCCTCGAGCCAATTTTGACTTTTGAGGTGTCCTTCCTAAATCGTACGGGAAGGTCAAGCTCTTTGGAGGCATGTGCCAGCCCTGAGAGGTTCAGAAGCTGGATTTCGAGTGGTAGACACAGTCTCCCTCAGAGTTTCCAATGTCCATTCCAATGTCCATTCCAATGTCCGAGCAACATTGCTCTCAGAGTCCAACTACAACCAAAATTGGAGTTGCATATCGGCATATCCAACTATACCGAGATCTTCCAACTAATATGTCTTTTCGTCCTCTGTATTGCAGCCCGAACCCACGGGATTCAGCACTTCATGCTTGCCCATACAAAAATCGGCCCGAGTTCTCGTGCGACAGTCTTGACCAGGAAGTTGTTCTTCCGATCTCACAGAGACTTCCGATTTTGAACATGGATTTCGGAGAACATGGCCTTCCTATATATAAGTTATCATAAGTTCGCCTCGCTGCAGAGATCGACGCAGGGAATCCCTCCCCGAAGTTTGAGTCATCTTTGGGCCATGTCGCCTGATGTCTTTGGAGCAGCCGCAGCCCTGAATCCTCACAGTCCTCCGGTAGACCTCCTTCGCTCCACTCGGTGTTTCCCACTGAGACCTCGCTTCGACTGATTTCGTCCGACCACTTTGTCTGACGGTCGATGTGGACATACTACGTGGACGGTGTTTCAGCACAGGGTGTATTCTCGGTGGCATCCAAACCCACTGGGCTACAGGAAAAAGACTTTACAACCTCTGTTTTGTTTGGAGTATTTTAGCCATCATTGCCATCATCTCTAAAAGATCTAAAAAGCTTTTTTTGCCCCCCCCCTCACAGAGTATACTCTCAATCAATTCAATCAACGGCCGCGTGAAAACACGGCCAAGTTCCCTTCACCCCATCGACTCTTGTAGAAACAACCGCATCGACTCGTTCAGTACCAGCCTTCCCAGCGGTTCGAAAGAACCGACAGAAGACACTGGAAGAAGCCGATCCAACCAGCGATTGGGACCCTTGTTTCTTCGTGGCTAGTAATCCCATCCACGTGGGTTTTGTTGACACTTAATTTTCCCGATCAGGGCTCCGACATGCTCCGACGATTTTCTGAGAGGATGGTTGGTCATGGTTGGGGTACCTTCGGATGTGGCTGGAGCATGTTAGATGTCTTCCGGGTTTCGTTCGAAGCACAGCTGAAGAGTTGAGCTCGTGACAAAACTTCCAACGCTCTTCGTGACAAGAGCTCTGCGGCGCTAGTTCGCAGGATCTCATGGGATATGGATATGGGATAGTTCGAAGGATCCCCTGTCAAACCTGGTCAAAGAATCCAGCCCATCTTCCAGCCCATCTTTTTTGGTTTTTGGGTAGAGACCTGGTCCAACATCCGACATCAGAGACCTGGTCCTTTCCATCCAATGGAAACTCCAACAAAGAGACCTGGACCATGTTTTGTCAATTCCAATCCAAGATCCCGAGGGGCGCAGTTCACCCGAGGTGCGCCGAGGCGCGGCCAAAGCCGGTAAGGCGAAAGAGGCCCAACGCCAAGACCTGCGGAAAACAGAAGAAGGCGGGGAGGATGGATGGATGTCTTCCATGTAAACTCCGGATAGAACAAACTGATGGGACGGGAGGAAGATGATAGAGCAACAATTACAGCCATGGATGGATGATAATTGAATAGATGATCAAATTGATGTTCCTTCTCCAAGAGAGACCACCCTTTCAAAAGCTTGCATGCTTTTCGGATGCTTCGAAAGCGTGACCGATGGCAATCTCCTAAAACTTGCTTCGCAGTCGTCGTTGTTCGGCAGAACAAGCTGCTCCCGGAAGTCCGGTGCAAGAGTCGGTGACAAAACCTGACTGGGACTGCTCCTCCCGATGCGACATCGCATGTTTGGCCCTCTTCTCAAAAAGTTGACTTGGGTCTGAGACTGAACTGGACTTCAGTGATGTCCAGAACCCCGACGTGGGACTTACTGAAGGACTCACTTGGTCCGGACGTCACTCACAGCCCAGCGTTTTGTTCCACCGGTCAGTACGGATCGGGATGCTAAGTCAACGACATGAGGAGCTGCACCGACAGGAGCACTTCGGTGGCCGTTCCGGCAGGGTTTTACGCACTTTCTTTGAGCATGAAATCACTTTCGGTGAATTCGCTGGTCTGGGACAAAGACAAAGCCCTTCAGTTTCCAACCTTCTCCACCTCTTGGATTGTACAAGTAGTGGGGAAACCAATCTCCCAAAAAGTTCTTGCAGGTTTCAAGACTGGCTATAGCTGGGAACGTGACTTGAACACCACATCATAATTTGTCGATCCCTGAATCCTATGTGTTTACTGTTCGTGCTGATGTGTTCGTGCTGATGGGTCATCCAGCGACACGTTTACTGACTTCAAACTGCAGTAGTAAGCTGATGGGCCCCCATGGCGGACCCGGAGACCTGGTCAGACCTCCGGGTCACATGAATGGATTTCCTGACCTGCTGGTCAAAGGGATGTCAATGACCCTGGTGGTGGAGGAGGTGCCAAGGCACCTCCCTCACAGCCGCATCACTTCCATGTGTGGATCGGGTCTCCCTAAAGGGATCTGATGGATAGAGCTGATGGTTTCCGGAGATGGGAGGATGCCCTAGAAGCGGCTCCTTTTTCCAGGACTTAAGACACTGTCAGCGCACTGTTATGTCTATACTTTCCATGTATATAGCTGCTGTGGTATCTGTCTGATATTGGGGAGGGATTTAGATCCAAGATCTATATTCCATTGTCGCCGGTAGTTTGGAGCAGTTGTCTGATCCCAGTATATGATATCCTAGTAGCTGCCCAACCCAGCAGGATCATCCTGGCACAGGACAATGTGAATTGTGCTTTCATCGTCCGCTGTAAAGTCGGTACAAAGAACATGCATGAAGGACAGCCTTCTAACTGGACAGTCCAAAAAGAGTGAAATCCTTTTTTTTGAAGCAGGCTGAAGTTCATGCAGGAGAACTGCGAGAATTCTATACCCCAAAGTGCACCCAAACGTGGCCTACATGTACCACCAAAGCCATGAAATGCAGGCCATATTGGCGTACATGAAGCGTAGCTGGGGCAGTGAAAAGACCGGAGCTGGGAACCTCCAAGGCTAGTGGATCATGTTTTTCTTTGCGAAGAGGACATGTTCGACCGATAGGAGCACCTTCCTTTCCAAATTGGATCAACGAGTGCCTTTTGACACCATGCCACAGCCACCACAGCCACACCTAGACCTAGACTTCCACACCTCCCACAGTCAGTCAGGTTCCACCTGCATGCCACCACCGTCCTCTCACGTCCGAAGGCGCCCATCGCACCAGCCGATGGGTCCGTTTTTCCACCGTCCACCCAGCCGATCAGATCCTTAGGGTGAGACCCGCTGGGTCAAGTGGATCGAAGGCCAAGGCCGAACGCCGAGGCCGCACAGAACCGCACGGTGCCAATGAGGTTCCGAACAACCTGTCACAGTCCAGAGGAGTTCTCCGGAAATCCTGGCACAGTCCAAACTGAGCTGCCCAAACTTGTGCAGCTCAGTAAAAGGAAACGTCTCAATCCGTGCCACAGGCGCTCTCATAGTCGCTCTCCTGCAAGGAGTGAGGAGGCGCCCACCGTTCGTTGTCAAGAGCTCAGTAAATAGAAAGGGGAAATCAATCAGGTCACATTCACTTCAATATTTCGCGGTGTGTTCCGCCTGTGAGGCCTCTTTAACACTATACGCCTGTGAGCACTAAAACGGGTGCCTCAAATCCAAGTCTTCAGATTGACATGCCTGTTCCGTAATCCTCGAAACAATCAGCAGAACGGATGATCTTGGGCCGTGCATTTGATCTCTGCCGTTTTGGAATTATCGCGGGAATCCTATTGGCGCTCTCCACGCTGAAGGAACCCAAGAGGCGAAAAGCACTTTGGACGGACCAAACGAAGACCTGAAGACTATCTGAAGACCTAAACTTTGCAAGTTCCAATCCAAACAGTTCATGATCTGAAGAAAAAGCAACGCAAGCCATCACAAATCCAACTCTATTGGGGGTCACTGTGGAGGCATCACCTCTGCACCATATCCCTCAATTGACCACCGCTTCCAGGGTCTCAGCAGTGCCTCTGTGCGCTTGCGTCCGACGACAGGTCCCCCCTGCCGAGCACAAGAAGTGGGAGTTGCTGAAGCCCCGAGAAACTACCGAGCTCAGCAGCTTGGGGATCCAATATCATCGGAAGATGTGGATACACCGAGAAGTGTGACATCTACAGCAACCTGCAGGATGTGATCCCTATGGATCCACATACCAAACCAAAGAAAGTGATTGCTTCATGTAGGTGCCAGGACGGCCCTAACGTCGTAGCTTCTGAGATGGTGCCAGGACGGCCCTTGATAGTGATCAGCTGTTTCAGAAAGGGGCCCTGGTCCGCATCAAAGTCCACCAACGGAGTTGGGGGTGCAACACCTGGTGTGTCTTTTGGTATTGCTTGCTTACATCAAGAACATGGCGAATGGAACCTAAGACACCTCCTGGAGTTTCCCAACAGGCATGGTTCAATTCTTGCATACCAATCCTGGGCCATGATGATTTCTGGCCTTTGGTCTCCTTTTGACTCCCATGGATCTTCTGGGTGCTGAGATGATTCTGCTTTGTCTCCATGGTTCTCCCATGTCAAAGAAACATTTGGCCAAAGGTGTTGCCGGCAAAAAGAAGCATCAAGCTGCCGCTGCTGTTTGGGGTTGATGCTGGTGTACATTGACAAAGCAAAACAAATAACATCAGGGACTGTCTTGCTGGCAAGAACTTCTGAAACCAAAGCAATGCACAAAACAGGGTTCAAATAGTTCCACCGGACGCAACATGTGTTCCAATGCAATGATATGTTCAACATGTTCAACACTGTCTGTTCATCTTAAGCAGCAGGAAAGTGTAGTTTGCTCTACAGTGTGAAGGCTAAAAACAATGGCAACTTGAAGTGGGTTTTCTTCAGCAGACTGCAGTGGTGTCCCAAATAGGCGTCACCTCCATACACTGGTGCGGAACACCAAAGGAATTTCACTGCTCAGTGAGCTGTGCCACACAGCCAGGCCTCCTTGAGCTGCTCGCTCACAAAGCCAGGCAATGAAACATCTTCCACCTGACACAAAAACCGTGGAAGATGCCAGACCTGATTAGTTTATGTCCAAATTTGGAGATTTGTCACTACATACTATCATATAATATAAAATGTTCATACTGTACCTGGTTCTTCAAAGTGACCTTTTGATAACCTGGTTTGAGGTCACTTAAGCCTCCTAAGGGTCACTTAGGAACATTCAAAAGGTCACTTTGAAGAAGCTAGTATATATATTTAGTATAAGTGCATATATGCAGAGCTTGCACATGCTTGCACCACAGTCCAATCCCTAAATCGGAGACCCCTTCCAGGTGGCACGATGGCGGTCGGAGGCGCCTCTGAACGGTTTCGTCCCAGGACTGGTCCCCGTCCCACCTGAGACGATGATCCGGCGGAAGGTGCGGAACGGGGAGGGTAAAAATAACTTCAGCATCACATAAAGGATTCTCAGGACATGGTTAGTGACATACCTGGTAAAGGACATGGGATGAGGACAACCATTCACTGGTAAAGGACATGGTAAGGGACATGGTAAGTGAGGTTTCACCATCCTTTGAGCGGTGCTGGCTCAGCTGGGTTGGTGTTCAAGTCCAGTATCCCAGCCAGTTTTAGTGCGATGGGACTCAGGTGTGCGGCTTGTTCCCCGTCTCGACGCATTCGCTTTGGCGCACGGCGTAGGGCATCCATGACACAACCATGCCCCAACCCACTAAAGAAACGCAGCCACATTAATGCGACTGCTGGCACGACGTGTTGCATTTGTCTTTTGGCGCATCAATGATCCATGCCTGGATGAGTCATATATACGATATATAATCGTATACTATAGACTATAGACTATAGATAGATAGTTATATATTAGTTCAAACTCTGGCCTCTTTGTCTGTGGGTGTGTATGTCTCAGGCCTGGACTGTGTAACAAACAATGTAAAAGTAGGGCCTACGGGCCTATGGACCCTGTGGATATCCTTTGCTGTGTGAGCCTGCGACTGTATGTATGTGTGTGTGTGGCCACAAGATTCCACCCCTCCAGGCAGTGATTGGCTCACCCCCTTTTCTCTGCTGGATGATGTCTCTGGTAAACTCTGCGCAGAAGACCGTGCAGGGACAGAAAAGAATCACAGAATCACAACTAACTAACTAACTATATAAAACTGACATATTGGAAGTATTTATTTATGGATTTATGGATTCAGAATTTATGCTTGAGTGCAAAGGTGGGAAAGGCCAGTGACACATGTACTGAACCTGCACAGTCTGCCAGCCTCACACTGATCAAATAACCTAAGGTCAAAACTCGGCTGCATTCAGCAACCAAAAAACCCTTCAGCACTCATGTCTACTTTTTGGCCTTTTTGGCCACCTTTTTTGGCTCCGGTTCTTTCTCTTTTTTCTCTCTCTTCGGTTTTGAAGACGGAGCTTGACTACCCTTGGCTGCTTTTGTGGGCTTCTCCTCATCCGCATTGTCTGCACCAGCGCGTGGTTTCCTCTCTCTCTTTCGACCCTTGGGCAGGTCTGACAACACATCTGAGACCATCTTTTGAAGCTTCCCAGGCAAGTCACCTTTGGTGAAGGAGTATGACTCTTCAAGTCTTTTCAGGGCAGCCTCAAACTCCAACTTGTCTGGGACTTTGCCACCGCGGCCCAGAAACAAATCACTCATGATGAGACATCCTGCGGAGATTTTGCACTCCTTGAGCAAGCTGAGGGCCGTTGCTTGTTGCTTCTTCAACTCATCCATGAAGTCCATGTACTCTTTGTTGCTGGAGGTGTGGTTCAACAGGCCCGTCATTGAAGAACACACCTTGACAACGCTTTGACATGTGGCCTCCAAAGCAGTCAAGTCGTGCATGATGTTCTCTTCATTGGTGATTTCGAAGAGGCTCTCAACTGGCGCCATCTCCCATCCTTCAGCACACTCTGCAACCTTGTTGTACCGGGTCTGGAAACTCTTCAACTCGTCCATCAATCCTCCACCAAACATGTCGAGGTGACGTTTGGCCGCCTGCAAGAAGGAATTCACATAGTCCTGAGAGGCGCCTTTGATACCTTCAAGCACCGTGTCCTCCATGATGGGGTCAGTGGCAGCCAAGGAGAATGTCTCGAACAAAGAGGTGTTCTTGACCAAAAAGTCCCAATCATTCTCAGCTGCTTCCACAAGCTTTCTGGATTCTTGGACAGACCTCCAAGCAACGACACAGTGGCCAAGAGCTTTCATTTTTGGGGGGCAGCATGTGCTCAACATCCAAGATGTGCACGTTCTCATCGCTTTGAACCATGTCTGAAATCACCCTGCGACTGACCACATGCTCCAGCCTCTTCAAGAAGCTCTCAATTGCCTTGAAAGTCATCACATGCTGTGAGCCCATCTGACCTGGAGGCACACTGATCCCAATGAAGCTACTCTTGAGGGCGCGCAGTAGCTTCAATCCAGACTTGGTTTCTGGAGAAACTCCTCGGAACTTGTCCTTCTCTGAGCGTTCCTTTGGGAACAGGAAGTACTGTGCAAATTGGGCTAGCCCGTCTCCAACACGCCAACCACCAGGCTCCGACTGCTCATTGATCACAGCGTGGATCCAGCCTCGGATATGTGACTGGATCTGAAGGCACGAACCAGTACAATGACTCAATGACAATGATGACAATGACATCTCAGATATAGTCGGTACAGTCCATATTAGTACAGTACAGTATCAGTGACAGTAGGTAACCAATATCAATCAATAATATCAATATCAATATAATTTGAATCATTTGGGGGGAAGTTTGTGTAAGGGTCGTGCGTGCTGGGGGTAGCAGGCAGAAAGGATCCATCACCTCACCCTGGCCTACAACCGTGGGCAATTCCAAACCACAACATCAGGGAAAAACTGAACTCTGGTCTTTGATTAATTTATTGTCCAATGTTGAAAGTCACTATCAAAACAGAACAGACTAAATGAAATCAATCATATGAATAATCATATGAATCGTATGTCATAGTAATTCTATATATTTTGTCTATTGTTTATTGTCCCCTATATAAGCCTACTTTACATATCATATATCGAATCATAATCATATCATATCATCATATCTATAATATAGCTCAACTCCACACTCAACAAAACACGCAACACAAAATGCCGGCTTTGAGTCTGCGGAGTTGAAAGCAGCACCACTGACTAAACATAAAGCAGTGCAGGGCATAAACAAATTGAGTATAGGTGCAGTACCCAGTATGCAGCAGGCACTGTGCAGTTGTTCATGCAACACTTCAAGCCAGGAAACATCGAAGCACGAAGCATCCGTCCACAGAATCTGGCAGGTGTAGATTTTCCTCCTTGGGAAGGGACTCTGACGAGTGTTGGAAATTCGCAGACTCAATGTCTGATGGAATGGCCTGGTTTGCAAATGACTCCACCTCTGACAGCGCGGTCTCAAAGCTAGGGCAAAGGGTGTTCAACCAGGCAAGGATCTCAGAGCGCTTCTCCAGCAAGCTAGAGTGTCCATCATTGGCACCTTCCACTTGGTCCTTCGCAGCACTCAATTGCCTGATGAGTTCATTCATGGATGAGAGGGAACGAACTGCCTTGAAGAGTTTCTCCATCTCTTCAACCTTGTTGGAACGGATGTTTTCTGGATCCAACTTCACGATGCTGTCCACTGTTTCTCCGGCTGCTGTGGCTTTTTTCAAAGTCAAAGCAGTAGCTGCCACTTCACGGAAGGCTGTCAGCACCCGATTCCACAAGGCCCTGCAAGGAAGTGTGGAAAAGCAAAAAGAACAAGAGCAACTGTGGTGTCAGAGTTTATCTAACACCCTGAGGCATACGGCCTACGAGTCTATGAGTGCGCCTGATGGTTGAATCGATCCTAGTTGACCGTCAAAGTCACAGTCTCTTAATCTGAATGCAATGCTGTCGACAGTCTACAGTAGTTATCAAAAGTCAAATCAAAATTTACAAAATGGATGAATGACAGGAGTCACGAGTGTCAGAATGACTCACCCTGTATGAACCACATGACTCATGACTCAAATGATTCTGAATTCTGAGTTCTCTTCAAAACACATTGCCACATTGCTATTTTCAAAGGGGTGGTGGGAGGATTCACTTAGATTACTCAGTTCCCTTACCTACCTGACCTAACTGTACGCCTGCCTATATACAAGTACACACGGATGGAACATGCTGGACCATGCCTCCATGCACTCTGGGAAGACATGGCAAGAGTCAGCTTGTGTGAGAACGTAGTCTTGGGATTTGCCACTTGCCGTAGATAGTTGTGATCAGCAGCTTCACCGTTCCCCTCCACTGCCAAACATGCGAACAGTCGCTGTAGGTCCTTCATGATGACATGTGAAAAGCCGCTCGCATTAGCATACTCTGCAACCTGGGCATCCGCATCGAGATGTGAGGGCAGCCTCAGGCCGGTTGCAAAGCACCGTGCCGTGCCATAACAGTTTCTCCAAACACAACATTGACTTGATTTCAACCTTGATTTTGACGGTGATGTCAATTCAATTCACAAGGTTGCTTTCTCTTGCTATGACATTCATTGACTGGCATGATAAAAAAAATGAAATCAACATGAATACTGGCGATGACAAGCTAATAGCAGTCAATGTCAATGTCAATGAGTATTGAGATGAGACGCCACTTTTTCTCATCAGCAAAGGCAGCATTCTTCAGAGATGGATCCAAATGAGCCCTCACCCACTCTGTCGAGGCATTCAATTTGAGCCTGTCATACCAGCATTCAAGCCCGACAAATTGCGCCTTTCGCAGACAAGTGTGAAAGGCGGCACTCCGCTCTTCCTGCTGAGGCGTGCTCCAAAGCTCAGCCAAGTTCAGAGCACAGGATTTGGGATCTGAAAGCCGAAGGAACTTGAAGAAGAGGAAATCGGGAGCCTCAAAGCAGTACCAATGGCAAAATGGCAACGTGAATTCAAGGGCACTAGATGCTGAAATTGCTGAACGGCCTCAACTGGATTAATTTTGGAAAACCGTTCTGTAGAATGGATGCAATTTCAACTGTCAGTCTTTGCGATTCCAATCCAATGTTTATCAATGTCAATCTCACAATGTCACAGCCTGAACAACTGGATGAACACTGCGTGTCACACAACAAGTGACACGTCACACATTAGTCAACTAAAAGTCGTTGTTTGTTACCAAAATAGTCAAAGTAAAGTGTGTTATAATGACTGAAATGATTGCCATTGTTTGAATCCAAAAAAACATCAATGATCTTCTTGGCAACAGATTGGATCATCTCAACCAATGTTCCCTCTGATTCCAGAAGACTTTTGTAGCACACGCTGAACTCATACTTGATGCTGCCAATTTTGGCTACTTCATCAGCTGCTTCCTCGGAGGAAAAGTTGCGAATCCTTT